TTTAATCTTTTTGACGATCAAATCAAGAAATTATTGGCCCTAGATTATCCAAGAGATTTTTGTTTTTTAAAACAAACGAACGAATCTCTAAATCTGTGGATTTGCTAGGATTTTAGGGATTTGTTAAAGTCATACAAAATTTGGGGTGATGATGAGGAGATCACTGATTCACTGATCACTCAATTATTCAATGAATATAGAAAATTCACGTAGTTGCTTTTGTTTACTTATACTTTGTTTACTTTTGCTTCACAGAAGTGCTTTTGTTTACTTATACTAGTTTAAATCTGAAAAATTACTTACAAAAATTTGGTTTTTAATGGATTGATACGAGCTTTTGCTTTAAAATCAATTTATTTTAACTCACGATGATCATTTTAAGTGTGCTACCTTTTTTGGGAAAACATCTTTTAGAAAACTTTGACTCTTCCCACTATATTCTGATGTTTAATGTGAAAAAGCCTCACTCTTCTTGTTTTAAATCTAAACAAGGTATTTGTAGTACAGTAAATCTATAAAAGAACTTAATACTTTTATCTTTATCTTTATCTTTATCTTTATCTTTATCTTTACTCTTGTTTACTCACTCTTTGTTCAACCTCGAGTCACTTTCTTGAACTCCGGTAACGTCACAGAAAAGTCTAACTTCTGCTCTCTGCTCTCTGCTCTCTGCTTATCCGTGATTCACCCTAAATCATGGTTTATGATCCAATCCAGAATCGTTTAAGCTCACAACTTTTTCCCCAAAGCACCCCAATCCAAATCAAAAATAATCCAAACTTTTGCGTCTTTAATAAAATTTGACGATTCGCGAATGATTCCTGCGAATATAAGCAATGAAATTCCTGTGACTGACCTCAATCAAATCCGATTATCTCCCGAGAAACTTTTGTTGGAAATAAATAAAAGCCGGGGATTACCGAAAAAATAGAAACTTTTCATCTTGCAACCATTTTTTGAGAGGATTTCCAAGGATACAATTCACGTAATTCAAGGATACAATTCACCGAAAGTAATTTAGTTGAAAAAAAAGGCTTTGATGAAAATTTCTTTGAGGAAAAAATGTTGTTGTGAATTGGGATTTATAAAAATCATTGAAGCAGACTTAACTCGTCATAGCTTAACTAATCTTCAACAATTAATACGCGAGTTTTGGTAGAAATTATATAGAAACTTTATTCAGGACCTGAGATAAAGTGCGCTAGATTTAAGATTAATACACATGAATTCATTCATACACATAAACACGAAAAGGGTCGATAAAAAGCAACACGATATAATACCGTATTTTCTCAAATAGTAGTGCACTTGGCTGAACCGAGTTGATGACTATTTTACGGTTTCCAATTTTTCACAGAAGCTCAACACTCAAATCCCCCACAAGATCTCATCGTCAGCTACATTTTCCGACCCCACATCGATAGTTTCTGATAAGCGGTTCTCGAGATTTTGAGCAATTTAGGCGACGCTCAGGGTGCACTACTATTAGAGAAAATACGTTATATGTAATATATGGGTAGCACAGATAACGTCAAGGATCCACTAGAGCTTCAAGATCAAGATCATTTACAATTAATTTAAAGGTTTCGAGACTATTGGACTCTCGAGACTAAATTAAAACAAATTACTAAAATTAAACCATTAATTCGCGATTTTTGGTCAAAGTTTAGGAATTATTTGATTTTAAAACAATCATAACTCTTTTGCAATTAAAATTAATCAATTTGCAGTAGCAAAAGTCTATGAACTTGATGATTTTACTAAAAATGGAAACTTGTTTAGCGATTGTGATATAGTTTTTTAAAACAAATAACAACTTTTACCATATTTGCTTTTCTATAAACCGAAATCTTTTTTATCGAAATCTATCGAAAATCAAGAAATCTATCGTCATGCTGATTTTCTAAACATTCGCAAAATCGTTAAGCGGTTTAGTGTGACAAAACACTACACTTTACTTTTGATGAACGTGTAAGCCTACAACTTGCAACAACTTGCAACAACGAAGTTCGCAGGCTTAGAACTTTTAAGAAACTAAAGCTCCTTGTTACATTGATACCCAAACTCCTGATAGATTATAATCTTCCGGTAATGAAACTTCTAAATTCGACACTTCCGAGAGTCAGTGATCTTAAAGTTTTTTTGTATCTTTTCTTTTCTATTTTCGGCTTGCAACTGATTGCGTCTTATTAATCGCAAAATTTTCGATCACTAGAATCAGTGCCGAGAAATAGACCACAGAAAAATGATCTCAAAAGTTTTTCCTTTCCTTTCTGATCCTCAATTTTTCCTTGACTCACTGTCTATAAATAAGCTAATGATTTCCCCAAAGAATTTCAATTACTCCATTTACCCATCTAAACTGATCCTTCAACAAAACCCATCTAAATTGATCCTTCCACGTAACCGTGTTTCTATTTCAATCCTTTTTAAGTCATACACATATAAATTAGATGTTAATTTTCAAATACTTTAACGTTTTCTTCGTTAATTGACAAATTTTTTTGAGATTTTTGGTCTCAAAAGAGATTCAAATCCTCACTCAAATCCCGTCAATAGGCGTGGCTTTGAGAGCACTTCTCTCCGAAAAAAAAGGAACCGATTATAAATGAAACCCAAGAAATCCCCATTACCAGAGAATTGTATAGAAGATTTATCTTTTAAAACAAACTTTTCTCGTTTTCTGATAAACATTTGTTTACTCTTTTGGGTTCAAAATGACTTTTTGACAAAATTATTTGAAATTATTTTCTGTTTATTATGAAAATAGTGATTTGTAAATGTTTATAAACTATTATAGTTTATAGAAGTTAATCTAATCTTTATAGAAGTGAATCTTTATAGAAATGATCTTCGAATTGTCCCTTGATGCTATGTTGAACCGCTCGCGAAGTCCTGAATGCATTGAGCCAAGACGATCAAAATCTGTCTGCTCGCCAAGGTTGATTTAGATAAGAAAAATCTGTATTGAATGCTAATTTCCCAAGAAAATATCAATAAACGAGTACACAACGAGTACACGAGTAAACTTTTTACAAAAAGTTAAAAAGTTTATGTGTTAAATGCACCTTAAGCGTTCTTCTCAAACGCGATTGGACAGTGACTTCTGTTTTATGAAAAATGAAAAGTCAATCTATACTATAAAAATATAAACGTAAAACCTTTTTAATTAAATCTTTTTGAATAATTTGTTTATTAATCAACCTTTCAGATTGACAGTCTCTTCAACAAACTCGTTGAACGAGCCAGATGTGGAACGCTTGAACACACCGAGTCCCGGTTCGTCTAAAAGTCTAAAAGTCTATCTAATTCAACATAAATAATGTGACACAAACAAATAAAAATACAAACACAAACTCTGTGGCACAAACAACTCAACCCTTACCGCTCTAATACCAAGATATTGCAAAGAAAAAAACTCGTGTATATGGAAAAAGAGGAAAATTTCCTAGCCGGTGGAATCGAATCAGTGACTTCGACTAGGATAAAAGACTTCTAATCACTTGACCATGATGCCACTTGGCCACTTTGAAGAAAACTCTTGATAAACCTTTATATTCAGTAATGTTTGAAATAATTATCATATGCTTAGTTTGAAGTTTTTCGAATTTAAAAGCAAATCAAGAGTTTAAAAACTTTTTAACTTTTGTATGATTAATCGTAAAACTAAAGGATCTTTCCAAAAGTTTAAAGCTTTTAAAAATCAAAATTTTCTTTAATTTTCTCTAATCTCAAATCAAATCCCGGTGTATATCCCATTTTTTTCTATTTTTTCCATTTTTTTTGGCCCACATTTCGTGTTCTCAGTCCGGTTAATCTCACGAAATGTAGGCAATGGTTTTTAAGTGAAAAAAAAAGAAAAAAAGGAATAATTTCACACAAAATGCGTGAGACATTGATTAAAATATTAAAATTATAGTATGAAAAGGTTATTGAAAACAATGTACCTAAAACTTTCAGTAAACTCATCGCGAAACTCGTTGGTCGACTCGCAAGCTCAAGAGATCAAGAAACATTTTTCATCCGGTTCGTTTTCAGAAAATTACTCAATTTTCGAAAACAACAATTAACAATTTAAAAATTGATATAAAAAAATTAGATTTCTTTATACTTTTGAAACTCTAAATCATAATTGGATTCTTTGAGAATAAATGAACAGCAAACAAGCAAATTCAGAAAACTTTTGACCCCTAGAGGGTTTTGAATGGGATTTCATTTCAACAAACAATTTTTCATGGCTTTCGTTCGTAAAGAAGTAATTGATTGAATTAAAAAAGCCAATTTCCAGCTCCACACCTTGACAAGCGTCCACTTACATCGACATTGTCCGTACCAAGGAACTCGCCGAATTCGATGAAAACCCAGCCAGCCAACAAAAACAATCTCACCCCTGGAAAAATCCCATTAGCCGCCCGGAAATCACTGGGTGTCGAGGTGGAATTTAAGCTGTTCAGCTCGGATTCCCTGGCTCCGATCCAAAACCAAATACGAAAACTTTCACTGCGTTGAATCCCATTTAATAGCTTTCATACTGTACTTTTTATAGCACTCGGGAAAGTAATACTTTTCAATTTAATGTTCATTAAATACTTTTACTGTAATCGATTTTCTTTGCATTGAGTGTTTACTCTTCTCTGACCTTTCTTTTCTCCATATTAATCTTTTTTTTTCTATTCAAAACCCTACTAGACATGGAAAAAATATTCCAAACCGAATCTAATTCCACCTTCGTTTTCTTCGCCGATTCCTCTGAAATTTTGTTTACAAACTGAAAATGTAGATTTCTATCTGTAGACAAAATTTCAGAGTAATCGGTCAAGAAAACGAAAGTGGAATCAGGTTCGGTTTGGAATTTTCCCATGTCTAAACTCTACGGGTCACACTGTCTGTTTATGAATGTTATTTAAACGAACTAAAATATTCATTTCAACGAATAAAAGCTATGTAGAAGTTCAAGAAAATCGCAAAGAGAAATGGGGAATTTTGTTTAGACACGCTTACATATTGAAGGGAACCGTTGTGAAGAGAGAGGCGGGTGATTGACTGAAAGGAACGGATTATCAGTATTCATTGACCATTCACCTTTCTCTTTGCATCAAAGTGTATCTCTTGAAATGGTGGTATTGGATCTTTGTTGCAATAATCTCCCTCGCAGACACAAACAATGTAGTCGAGAGTGGCGTTCGGAGGAACACCCGGAAAAGAACGCACGAGGAAGCAACTGAATGTGGAAAATGTTGCAAAGCTTAGATCTAATTCAAATTCTAGTTTAGTTCTGGTTCTGGCATAGCTCTGGCATAGCTCTGGCATAGCTCTGGCATAGCTCTAGCATAGCTCTGGCATAGCTCTGGCATAGCTCTAGCATAGCTTTGGCATAGCTCTGGCTTTGGCATAGCTCTGGCTTTTTAAAATTATTAGATTAGTGTTTAAATCAGATTTTACTCATGAAGTAGGGAGGTTTTCTACTTTTTTTTCAACTCCCACTACACTACAATAAGGCCAAATTTCTTATTCAACCGATCAGGAGATGCAAGATAACGTTCAAATAAGTATCTAACTAAATTTTTGTCATTGGACAGTGCACAGTGTTTTGTTCGTCTCACTTTGGAGAGGACAAAGAGGGACAGGATGAGATGAGACAAAGGAGAGGCGTCTTTAGCCCAAGAATCTAGTTTCCATGTGAAGATCTAGTAGAAAGTATATGCTGATTTCTTCTTTAGCTTTTCGAGGTAATTCCAAATATAAAAAAAATTATACACCAACACCCTTGATTTTCATAATTTTTCATCTTATCCCAACTACTTTCAGTGCAAAAAAAAGAAAGGTAAAAGTTGATTCCAATATTCCAATTCTTTTCAGATAATATTTTTGGAATGAAATTTTGAAATTTCTCCACCTCAGTCCAAGGGAAACCTGTGCAAAAATTTTGTAACCCCATTTTTTCCCCCAAATAAAAACTATGCTTATATCGGATTATTTTGTCCTATTTTCTATCAAATAAACATGGTGAATAGCGGAAATTTTCGGGCTTCAGTTAAGCCTGAAATCCTACATACAATGCTTGTGATCGCAAAATCTCATTTTCAGTTCATTGAACAAAGGAAATCGAGAGGAAATCGAGAGGAAATCAAGCGAGTGGGTGTGGATTAGCCTTTCTTTTAAGTCCAATTTCTTTTTTTTCGTTCTCTTTCATTGAAATATTAATTAGACGTCTTTTCATTCAATTTAATCAAAATTGGATTTTGAAATCTGGGAATTTATTGGGTTTAAAGTAAAGCGGGGAATTCTGTGGAAAAGTTTGTGTTATTGTTTCGAAAATATTTCGAAATCTAAAAGGAAAAAACAGAGAAAGGGTTATTTTTTTGAAATTGAAACAAGTTTTGAAATAATTGAAATAATAAACTTTACATTTACTAGTATCAATAACTTCAGTTCTGAAGCTAATTTTGGTTTTGTTAGCGCTTAAAAATCGTCGTTAGATTGTCCAACTCACCCATTCTGTTCAGCGATCAAACTTTCTCGAAGGTGACTCCGCAACGTCAACTCGAAGCAACCGCGAACCACGTATGGATTTGAAGCTTCTGAAGATTCTGAAGATAGTATTTCATAGTATTTACAGTAATCTATTGGCTGAAAATCTTGGCTTTTGACTTACCTGGGAGATTTGGGGTCAGTGTGACACAGAATGGATACACTGAACACAATTGCAACTCGACATTCGGAGTGTCCTCGTCGATCGATGATGAACAACCGGGAGATCTGAAATCGAAATCAATATGCAAACAAAATTATTGCTCACCTAGCTTCAACGGGAACAAAGAAGGTATCGATCTGGTTTCGGATTTGTGTCCGGGCAATCGGCGAGAGACTCTCCTCTCGCGACACACATCGATAACAGCCTATCGCTGAAATTTCTAGTTTTGTTGTTAAGTTTTTCAATCACCGCTTAACCTAAGTAAAACAAACCTTTTACTGAGACAAAGAAAGAAATGTGGAGAAGAAAGAGATCAATTTGCATCCCATTTGTCGATTTTTAGCTCATCGCCTAATTCTTGATTTAATTGTTGAAAATTGAAAGCTTTAGAGAAATATTTAAAACATTATGTGCTTGTCTTGGATTGACCCAGGTAATCGGAGCCAATAAGAGAAAAAGGAAAACATTTGGTCAAAAAGGGGGGTAATTAGTGAAAGAGACAAATGAATGGAGGAGAATGGGTCAATGGAGAAGGAAGGGAAACAGAACAGGTTGAGAATGTTTAGTTTTTAGAGGAAAGAGGAGAATTTAAAGATGAAAGTTAAAGATGATTGTGCAGTTTAGTTCTAGATGTCTCAGTAAACAATAAATCATTACTTTATCTTTATCATTACCAGTACTTTATCGTTCCCAATTTCTGAAACATTGTAGAAAGTTAATGGCTATATTATTCATCGAAGTGGTCAGAATGGTCATGAATAGATCGTTCCTTTTTCTATACTTCTTGTAATTTGTCTTGTAAATGAGAAAATGAGACAATGAGACAATAAATATTGGGTTGTCCAGTTATGAATGCGTGTTTTTACTATTTTGTAAATTTCTCAAGATATCGAACAGATGTAGATGAGTGTTATATATCATTCGAAAGCTGAAGATCTCCTCTACATTTTGGAATAAAAAGTTTTTGAATTCATTCAACTTTTTGGAAAATTGACTGCACAAAGGGAGAGATCGTTTTCAAAAAAAACCCATTCCAGCTTAGCTAGTCCTCAAGTTTTATCGTGTAAAATAACCGCCCAGAAAAGAAAAGGTGCTCTGAAATTGTTATACTTTTAAAAAAGTTGTATTGATATATCTATTGGCCAAACATCAAATGGTTAACTCCATTTGAGCGAAGCCAAAACTTGATCCAAAGGCACCCTTCCAATTTTTGGCCACCTCTTCTTCTGTGCAGTCAATTTGCCCAAAAGCTGAACAAATTCAAAAACTTTTTATATCAAAATGTAGAGGAGATCTTCAGCTTTCGAATAATACTCATATAAATCTTTTTCTTGATTTCGGTATCTTGAGAACTTTGCAAAAAATTAAAAAACGCGCATTCATAACTGGACAACCCAATAATTTGTCATTTAAATGAAACAATTTAAAGAACAATTCTGATAATGGACTTGATCAACATCCGAATGAATAGAAAAATAGTTTTAAATCATAAAAGTTTAACTTTTTGTTAACAGTTTGCAATAATAGAGCTCTGTTTATTCTTCAGAGAATAACATATTGAATCATGGCATTGTTGAGAGGCAAATTCGTCAAGTTTAGCGAATATTTTCCGCGAGTCTCAGCGTGCCCCAAATCCCCTGTGGATTGTGGGGAGAAAGAGCTTCTCTTCACCACAATGGACAACACATTTCCCTCCTTCACTTTTTATATTACTCTTTTTATGTGAAGAAATGAGAATTTGCATAAAAACTTGGCTATATTTAGTTAGCAGAGTTTTATGGTTTATCAAACACTTGGTTAAGGTCTTATAGAAGGAGGAATAGGTTAACGGGGATTTCGCGGATGTGCAAAGAAGGCAAGTACAGAAAAAATGTGAAAAGAAGGCAAGTACAGGAAAACAAATGCATTTTAAATCTAATCTTGTATTAGAAAATTCACGATTTAAAGATCTCTCGAACGATTTAGAGATCAGAGCTCGATTCCTTCAATCCTGTAGATCTCATTGTAAGACTCTGGAGCCGGATTGATCCTTTCAAAAGGTGTGAAAAGCAAAATTGAAAGAAGAAAGGTGAAAGGTGACGAAGAATCGGATATCCTTGAGGAGAAATTTGAGATATCCGTCTTGGACAGTGTTTTGTTCGTCTCACTTTGGAAAAGACAAAAAGGGACAGGATGAGATGAGACAAAGGAGAGGCGTCTTTAGCCCAAGAATCTAGATTTAATGTGAAGGTCTATTAGAAAGTACGAATGAAAAACCTATAGCAACTAGCTAACCCGATAACAGATTAAAAGACAGGACACTGTTGAAAATCGTTAGCTCTGTTCCTTTAGTTACTTCAGCGAGTGGGTGGAAAGCAAGATACTCTGGTGCAAGTAGCAATAAAGTATCCAACAGTAAAAGCAATCAGCAATCAGCAATCAAATACAAAAAAAAAATCAGATTTATTTAAATGTTTTAAGTGTTTAGAAAAACTCAAAACTTTTTGAATTCTTCATAAAACAAAAGCTCGTTGTTGCAAAAAAAACTACTTTTTTGGGTGCCAAGCTGAACAAGAAGTTGAAGAAGAAACCAACTAGTTGCAACTATCACAAGTTTTACGATGAATATAAAATGTGATGAGGCATACACAGTGAAAAAAGGCTGAATTGGAAGGCATTTTTGAAGAGAATTCTTTTCTTTTACAAACTTTTCTCCCTTCTTTACTGTGTTCTCGTTGTTTGTGAGTGCTCGAGCAGAGAAAAAGGGAAAAAAAGCATAGAAAAAGTCATCGGGCTTCTTCTCCCCTCTTTTTTTTTCGCCGTTTGCATAAACAATTCACTTCTTTTATTTGGACACAAATTCACTTCATATCCTTTTTTGATTCATTCAACTCAAGCATACACGAAAATCTAGAGAATATGCATAAAAGTACAGCATGTTATTGGCAAAAGTTTTTAGAGATCTACTTTCGAATATTGTAAGCTAGTTCAACTTGTGCAGTTTAGCTATTAAAAGTTTATAATGACTTTTTTAGTAGCTTTAATGAAATCGTGAACAATTTTGAGGTTGACGTTCGGTGAATCAAAGGGAGCCAGAAATTTGGTCCGTTTTTGATGAGATATTACATTTTAGATCTGCGCCTAATAAAAATTTAAACAGTTAGTTTTGTTTTTAGCCTTTTGTAGCTCAAAGCGAGTTCTTACTTATTTTCTATTCACTTTCTCACTCCTTCACTCACCATATGCCCAGCATCAATCAACCACCAGAAATGCAAATTCTTATACTCCTTTTTGAGGGCCCGTTTTGCCGCAACACCCAGCTCTTCTTTCTTGGTCTAAAAGAAAGGGTACATGTGACTCTAGCCGATGCAATTTTGTTTGGACAAGTTTACATTTAACTGCCAAACAGTGAATCAAATACGGAACATTAACATAATGAATGTGTGATTTAAATGCTAAATCTTTAAAAAAGGCAATTATTGGCGTCTTAAAAACATCCCAAACTGCAAATTCGTGAAATGAGTAAGCAGCAAATGGAAAATATCTTGTCTTTTGTAGAGCTGACAGTAAATATACAAACTCGTAAATTTTCGTCAGCGGGGGTGGGACAAATGCGACCTTTTTTTTTGCTGGAAAAGGCCTTACCAGGGAACCTTCCCAAGTTCCCCGCGAGTTACAATACGAGGTAGGTGCAAAAAGAAAGGCCTGAAAATGTACGTTCAGAAACTGTTTTCAAAAACCGCTAATCGGCAAAACGCACAAAGTTACAGCCATTTGAATTTCGAAAAAATGAGGTCTTTTCTCGAATTTCTGGCACACTGATTTTTGCTATTTTTGTTATTTTCTAATGTTTTTTAATGATTGACAATTTATTCAAAAGAAAGTAAACAAAACATTAAAAATCAAGGGTAATTGGCAAAAAGAACAAAAATGGACAGCCTGAAATGCACAATTAAAACAGTAACTTTTAGAGCAGTGTGCACAGCGCATGAAGCTAATATTATTGCATCCGTTTTCTTCACAATCACACATATTTGTCCTGTTAAAGAGATACTCCGCCGGGGTCTGAAAATCTCCCGGATGCTGAGGGATGTATCCTGCTCGGAACCATGGATATTGACGAAATTTGAGAAACACTGGAGCTGCTCATACGCTGCTCATACACAACCGAAAGAACTTTAATGATATTGTCTCGCTTGCTGATCTTGAAATCCGGTTCGCTGGCTCGAATGTGACCGTGAATTCTTTTCATTAGGCCTTTAAATTGTTGAAAGAAGTAAACGTTCAATGGTTGAACGAGTCCTGTACACCCCGCTGTGTACGGCTTGTGAAAGAGCTGGACAAATTGTTCGGACAGTGACATAGTCTGTCTGTACAAGCATCTCCACTTTTTTTACTCCTTCTGGTCCAAGCGTACGAGGGCAAGTGAATTCTTTAACAAATCCACTCTGATCCATGTTGAGTATTTGATCTTGAGTGTATCCTTGTTGTAGCTTTTTGATATCCTCCACGTACTCTATGGCCTTTTCGCAATTTCGTCCTTATTTTTCAAGTTTATCCGCGTAGTAAATGTTGTTATTTTCCGGTTAACCAAGTCGGCAGCTTTCTTCACGTTGTAAACCCAAGCGTCAGAAGCTTTGAAATCATCAATCGGTTTTTTCTCTCGATTCAATCTCATACCAATTTCCACAAGATCACGATCATGTATTGGAATCCCTTTGTGATAACGATCATATACTTCAGCCCTGACCTGCGTTAGAAGAATACTGTAGGCTTGAATGCGATTCATTTTCAGCTGTCCTGTTGCCTCATATCGCATCAATTTCTTCCACCAGCTTCTATGTTGATCATGTTTGAGCCAATGGTACGTACCCGACACTGTCGCAAAACTCCTTCCGCCTGGCACCTCTCGGTAGAAATCAATCATCTTATCGATCTGGAAATAAGTAAACTAATTATAATTGTATTTCATCTTACCTCTTCTTTCGATTTCTTATATTTATTGCCAAAGGTCATAAAAAGTTCCGAGCCGTCGGTGCTGAAAAGAGCATCAGCTTTGACATCAATGCTCGCTAGCGGATCCCAATCTGGCTCGTCGATCTGTGGTGCATCCGCCTCAAGGTCTTCTGTTTCCACTTCAATCTCTCCTTGCTCGGCCATACGAAGCAAAAGTACAATCTTTTTTACAACCTAAACACAAAAAATGTATTTAAAACATGTTAATATCTGTTCACCTTGTTCTCCATTAACGTTAAATCACGAGAAGAAGTGGTGCCGCCAATGACCGCTTGAACTTTTGCGGCAACTAGACTTGCTTCAAAAGTGGCCATTCATGAGATGCTAAA